AGATAGCGTATCCACTGCAAGTAAGGTCCAACAATTGAAAGTGCATCGAAAAACTGCTGTCTAGATTCCGTTCTTGGCTGAGTTTACTATAACTAAATTGGTCTTTACTTGTACTTGATACGGCTGTGATTATGCCTGATCTAGCCGGCCTTGAATATGCCCAGAACTATACCTCTCCACGCGAGACGATCCGCGGCACCGGATCTGGACAGCCCAATCCATTCTCTTCCCCAGCAACAGAGGCCGAATACCAAATATCCGAGAACCATGTCCATGTGAACTCTGTCAAGCCAGGTTTTGAGTTGACCCCCTCTTCGACGTCCCAGTGGGATTATGGTGCCGGATCGATGGCATTAACACTGAACTCCTGAGGTGGACGACAAAGAACATGCCCAAACCACCTCAGTCGTCTTCCTTGGATGGCCCGAGTTATCCTTGCGATGTTGTCGCAGCGAGCGCGGACTGTCTCATTTGAGAAGGAGTTGGTGTACTTCACTCGAAGGATGGTCCTCAGACAGTGGTCGTCAAATACCTTCAATTTTCGCTCGTCCTCGCGCACAGCCCAATATTCACAACCAGAGAGAGGGACAAACCAGACTGATGCTCGGTGCACGCGAATCTTTGTGACGATGGAGATTTCGCATCGGATCTATAGGCATATTCTAAAGTCTGAGAAAACCCGGCGGGCAGCATCAATTCGGGAGACAATGTCATTCTTACTCTGTCCACTCGGCAGCAGCCTCGCCCCGAGGTATTTAAGACTGTCTACTTCTTCAAGTTGAGACATTAATCCCGAGAGATGCCCTCTCCTGGTCAGGGATGCAGCTTGAAAACACTTGTCTTTAAGCGTTTATGGATAAACTGACCGATTTAGCGACCTCGTTCACTCGTAACACCATAGACTGCAGGTCACCAAAACTTGAAGCAATTAAGGCGATATCATCGACATAGTCGAGCTCAGTCAGTAGGTTTTGGGGTGCAAACTCAACACTGTCACCTTCGTATAGGGCCCTCCCGAGAATCCAGTCAATAGCGTAGTTAAATAGAATGGGCGACAGGATACAACCCTGTCGAGCGCCAGACCGAATACTAAACGGTTGGGAAGAATTGTTGCAGACCAGGACTCGTGAACGATAATAGGTCTTGATCATGGTGATGATTTTTGGCGGTACACCATCTAGTGCCATTATCCGTCATAGGGACTCATGATGGACGGGATCGAACGCGGCGGCAAAGTTAACAAAGCAGACGGCCTTCGGTTGCTGGTAGCCATGGCGAAACTCGAGAATGCGCCTTAGTGAATACCTGGCCCGTGCATCCACGTCCATCACGAAATCCGGCCTGGTTCGGCCTCGTCCTAGAGCCACGCACAGCCTGGAATCGCCTGAGTAGGACAATAGCTAAGATCATTGCGGCAACAACGACGAGGCCTATGCCGCAGTAGTTCTTGCACCTTGCCTTATCTCACTTCTTGAGGATAAGTACAAGAATGCCTAAGCCCCAGTCATCAGGAGCAACCTCGTCTCGCCACTCTTGTTCAATCACCTCATGGAGCCACGGGGCCAGTTTCGGCACAAGACTTGTAGATTTTAGCGGGTATACCGTCCTCTCCGGGTGCCTTGTTGTTGCGTAGCTTTCGTATGGCATCGGCGACCTCTCCTTCAGAAGGGGGGTCGCATGACACTGCACAGATTGGAGAGGGAAGAGACTTCGCTGCAGAGGAGAGCAAGGGCGAGGTGGGTTGGGTATCGAAGTCGAGATGGTGCTCGAAGTGCTCACGCCGGCGCTCGATTTTGGCCGTGTTGTCAGCAATAAAGCCATCACTCACGTCGCAAACAGTCACTCAGTGTAGAGGGCTTACCACTAACTTGGCGGATAAGTTGGTAGTTTTCGAGTGTCACCAACGTTCGAGGACTGTTCCCCGAAGGTCGCTACTTCAGCCCAAAACTGCTTCCGGCCATCCCTGGCCGACTTTGCCGTCATCTTTCGAAGTTGGCGGAAGGAATCATCATTACAGGATCTGGCTCGAGCCGTCTGTGCAGACTACTGCAGGGTTCTCCCGCTGATCCAGTCATTGCGGCGTCGCTGGGTATATCCAAGGATTTTCTCACCAGCCCCATAGACTGACGTTATCAGGGATGTCCACTGGTTACTGCCTTCTCCGTCGGCTCCGGTCGTAAAACAGGACCGCATTTTTCAGCTCAGGGCCTCGACAGTGCTGATTTGCCGGCTTTTTGAGACATCGAAGCGTCTACGACGTGGCATTTTTAGCGGAGATGGGAGGTGAACTTTGAAGCGTGTACGAACAAGGACATGGTCCGACCCATGGGCGTTACCAGTCTCGGCACCACGCTTCGATCTGCTATCATGAACCCAGCTGCGAAACCTTGAGCTGACTATTATGCAGTCAATCTGACTGGCCGAATAACCATCGTTTGAATACCGGGTCAGATGGTTGTTGCGATGCTGGAAGCACCTGTTCGTGACAAGCAGTCGGTTCTGATCAACAAAGTTCAGCAATCTCTCGCCATTTCCACATCGGAAACCAAGCCCAAAACGGCCAAGAAGATGACTTTTCGTGGAGTCGTCAGGTCCAGTCCGGCCATTCCAATTCCCCGCAACAAGCAGCAGATTGCGGCGAGGGAGTCTTTCAACTAACGCTTGCAACTGCGAGTAAAACGCCTCTTTATCGCGCTGTTCGGCAGCTGAAGTTGGTACGCACACAGAGACGATGAAGATGCTCGTGATGTGACCCTTCAATCGTAGGTAGGCCATCCGCTCATTCACTGATTCCCAAGCAAGTAACGCGAGGTCCGCTTGTTGCGAGAGAGCAATAGCCACACCGTGTCTACGAGAGGAGTCGCGCGGGCCGCTGTGGCTTGCTCTAATGATGCATCTTAACAAAGCACTAAACGACAGTGGACAGCCTCAGCCGGTCACCGGCAGATTTGTAAGCTAGTTTGAGCCAGTTAGCGTGCTAACCACACGGAGCATCGACCGA